TATATATATATATATATATATACATCAAACAAAGTTTGATTTCACATAGTGGATGAAAAGCAGCCCTGTTATTATAGCATTAAGGCTCTTTCGATCTGTAGACCCCTCGAGATAGATTTCTATACGTGGTGTGGGGACCTCCCAGGAAAGGTTCTGTATTTTAAGTTACCTCCTCTGGGAGGATCTGAACATTCACCCACGTGTTTGCCGTGCTTGGCAACCCGTGAAGGAAAGTAGTGGATCTAGGTGGATGAGTGGTGTCTGGGGCATTGCAAAACATTACCTTGGCCTTGAATTCCTATAGACGGGTGGCCTTGGGATGACTCCCCCAGGGTCAGTCGGTTGGCCTTTTGGGCTAGGGTCAACTGAGTACCTGTGTTGGGCATTCTCACCGGGTGTTGTGGACATTGTGTCTGATGCTGGTGTTTGGGTATAGTGCTCACGAAACCCTGTCGTTGCTGCAATGTCCTTGTTTGGCATTGTAGTGTGTCCCCTCGTAGGACCTCATTGTGGGTGGGGGTCAGTAGGAATTGAATTTTTATCTTTTTATTATGGATCCCTCAAATCCTCAAAATATAAAATGGTAAAAACTCCATCATTGGTAAACGACCACGCCTAGAAGACTCCACACAGCAGTATCCACCCTATTCTGTACCTGAGTTGTACATTCTGTATGTTTCCTTATCTTGCATTCCTTGTCTGATAAACCTTTAGTGCAAATGTCTCCCTTTTTTATTCAGAAGGGATTAGAGGGCTTGCTGGCTCTCCAAAGTCAGTTAAGAAGCTACGTTCTGGGGACATCTTGATGGAAACATCAACATCAAAACACAGTGACCAACTATTGAATTTGAAAACATTGGGGATGTACCCATCAAGGTTACTTCCCATGCTACTTTAAATTCCTCTCAAGGAGTTATTGTTAAGAGGGATTTGAAGAACATCCCCGATTTGGAGATCCTCGCTGGTTTCTCCAACCAAGGAGTTTCTGCATTGCGACATATCTCCTCTCGTAAAGCCAAAATTATGCTGCCTACCAATATTCTCATTTTGACGTTTACATCGCCACATCCACCTGCCGCTGTCAAGGCAGGTAAGTTGAACTGTAAGGTACGTCCATATATTCCCAACCCTCTCCGATGTTTCCAGTGTCAGCAGTTTGGTCAATCGCAGACATCTTGTCGTGGTTCTGTGACATGTGCTCGTTGTGGTGGCAAAGACCACAACGCCTACGAATGTGAACTGGTCCCATACTGTGTTAATGGTAATGATTTCCACCCCTCTGCTATTGATCTTGCCCCAGGTGGATGGAACAGAAAGAGGTATCGCATTTAAAGACTGTTAACAACATTTCTTACTCCGAGGCTCGGAAGTTATTGTCCCCTACTCCATCTCGGATATATGACATTGCACTACGCTCCACTGCTATGGTGGGACTGCAGACGAACCTTTCGTGCCTCCTTCAAGGTCTTTTTCACATCATGTGACGGGTCTTTTGCCTTCAATGGATAAAGGAGTTGACAAGTCAACGTTTACTCATATTTCTGTCCCCAGCGTTCCTTCCAGTGACTGCCCGGGTCCATCTCCTTTGGCTCCGGCTCCAGTGTCCACTCAGGTCCATTTTCTTTGGCCCCGAGATGCAGAACGATTATTCGTTCACGCGTTTAGTCGCTGGAATCTCAGTCTAATGAAAGAGATCTGCCCACTCGAACAAGAGCAGGATCCATGGAGGTCGACAGACCTCCTTCTAGTAAAGAAAAACGCCAAGTTCTCTTCCACCTACGTAAAAATGGCCATTTTGATACAGTGGAACTGTCGAGATTTTTGTTCTAAACTAAATGACATGAAGGACTTGATCGATTCCTTACAGGAAACATTTCTGAAACCTGCTGATACAGTCACCTTTTGGTAGTTTTAGTTATACCGGCATAACAGGCTGTGTGATGGACTAGTGCATGGAGGGGTGGCACTGCTGGTTGACCAGGACGTGCCCACCTTGTCTGTGTCACTCGATACATCCTTGGAGGTCATAGCCATCCGTGTTTTCTTGGGTCGCACCATCACTGTCTGTTCTCTCTACCTGTCTTCTGGAGAGACTTGCGATCAATCAGACCTTGATGCTCTCGTTGAACAGTTGTCATCTTCCTTTTTAATCCTGGGAGACGTTGGACGGTGTCATTCGCAATGATGACACTGTCCAGCTTGACCGTGTTTTTAGCTTTTTGCGGGATTTAGAGCTTTTTAATTCTATTTAAATGTTTTTACCTGATTTTCGAATTTTGTTTAACTATTAACTCGATTTATTTTTACAATTTATAAAATTTTACTTTCACTGTTTTTACCGGATGTTTGGCGCAGATAGTGCATTTGCTTTGCGCCATAAGACACCAACCAGCCAACCAACAATCTGTAGATTAAACTTTACTTAATACACATACCTGATATTTGATAAAACTATATCACCTGAAAGTGTAACAGATGGGAAGATCATCAGATCTTAAGACATTCTGTCTCCATACCAATTAAACTGACTTAAAACTTTTATAAACTATTATAAGCACGTTTATAATAGTTTTATTTTTGAACGATGTTTTAATTGGAGAAATATTAATAGTCTTGGAAAAAACAACGAGTTTCATCCATCAGCAGAATTTCTTCGAAGATAATGTTTCAATCTGCTGATGCAGAACCTGACGAAATGTCTGCAAGCAGATCGAAACGGGCCCAAAAATGAGAATAGAGGTAATTGAACCTACTAATATAAATATTGTCGTAGTTTAAAGATAGTTGAACCTACTAATATAAATATTGTTGTAGTTATAAAGATAGTTGAACCTACTAATATAAATATTGTCGTAGTTATAAAGATAGTTGAACCTACTAATATAAATATTGTCGTAGTTATAAAGATAGTTGAACCTACTAATATAAATGTTGTTGTAGCTAAGGCGTGGAACAGCAATAAAAGAACTCGACACAAATCTGAAAAAGAATGTTTTTGAACTTCTAAATGATTTGAATATACCCAAGTGATAAGTCGTACATGTGCGGATCTAAAAAAATCATCAAACTGAAATGGACTTCGAGATGGAGAAAGTTTGAAAAATCATTTTTTGAAACCTTTATACTTAAGTTCGATTAAAGAAATTCGAAAAAATTGATATTTGAGAAAAAAAAACGTGATAATACCTCAGATATTACATTTGCTAAACTACTTTAGTATGCACAGTTCCATATCTTATTAACATAAATCATTTTAATAGTTAGCAGATGGATACGTAAAAAAAGACATAAGACATACCAAGCTGAGATGTTCCTTTGGAGATAGTGTCTCCCTCATTGACATGGACATCCGTGCCTCAGCCCGTAGTTTCTTCTTACCTAAAGCAACTGCTCCACTCGTAACAATAAGCACTTCTTTCCCTTGATTTTGAAGTTGGGTGACCTGTACGAAATATGTGTTACATTAAAGGTTAATAAAAGGCTGTAAAACAATATATTCTGTATAGCATAAACAAAACTTGGCCTTTAGAATATTTATTGTATATGATGTAAATAAAGTTTTTAATTCTTCTACGCAAAGAGATTGATATTAGCAACAGAGAAGAAAAGGTGAAAATACAAAAGCTCTGTTTTTCGTACGTAAGATATTTTTCCAATTACTGTAGGATTACAACGCAAGAAAGTCGGCTCTTTTCTTTATTTGATTTGAGATATTATCTAACATCTGTAGTTGGGATGAGAACTTGTGCTTACCATACCCCCTAGACAAGTACTGCACGGTTTATCTATTTAAAAGAGAGATCAGCACATGCTCATCCACTTGAGATGTATAGATCCTCGAGTGCTTTGAAACGAAAAGGATGTTAGTTAGAGTAGTAGAGTATGGCACGTCTCATCAAGAGCCAAAATCTTGCGTTTCAGCCCCTACTGGTACAGCGGCATGTCTGCGAACTTACAACGCTAGAAACCAGGTTTTGATACATTTGGTGGGCAAAGCACAGATAGCCCATTGTGTAGCTATTCAATTAATGGTGATATAAGGAGTCATACCTCTACACTCATACACTTATTAGCAGTATTTGGATTGAATGAAGCTCTGTAGCCACACCATCAACTGACATCCAAATAAAAAGTAAAATAAAAGTCAGAAATAATTTTCTGGTAAAGTGCAATTAGAGAAAGAAAGTGTCTATTCTTCAATGCACGGATAATGGTTAGAGGAATATTAATAACAAATTTTATATGCAAATGCTCGCAAATGATGGAAACTATGCATTACGTACACTGTTTGTTGTTCAGTTACAAACCTGCACTTTCTAGGATTATAATTATCTAATTACGTACGAATGGGCAAATAAGTATAAAATTTCTAACTGGTTTAAATTTGAGCGAGATATAAGAGGAATGGATGCTGAAACTAACTTTGCGGCTACTTTGGTTATGTCAACTGTAAGACTGAAACTCCAGCTTCTAGAGATTTTAGTTATGTTAACTGTAAGTCAACTTCCAGAGATTTTAGTTATGTCAACTATGAGACTGAAACTCTAGCTTCCAAGATTTTAGTTATCTGTGAGACTGAAACTCCAGCTTCTAGAGATTTTAGTTATGTTAATTGTGAGAATGAAACTCCAGCTTCCAGAGATTTTAGTTATGTTAACTGTGAGACTGAAACTCCAGCTTCCAGATATTTTAGTTATGTTAACTGTTAGACTGAAACTCCAGCTTCCAGAGATTTTAGTTATGTTAACTGTGAGACTGAAACTCCAGCTTCCAGATATTTTAGTTATGTTAACTGTTAGACTGAAACTCCAGCTTCCAGAGATTTTAGTTATGTTAACTGTGAGACTGACACTCCAGCTTCCAGATATTTTAGTTATGTTAACTGTCAGACTGAAACTCCAACTTCCAGAGATTTTAGTAATGTTAACTGTGAGACTGAAACTCCAGCTTCCAGATATTTTAGTTATGTTAACTGTGAGAATGAAACTCCAGCTTCTAGATATTTTAGTTATGTTAACTGTCAGACTGAAACTCCAACTTCCAGAGATTTTAGTTACGTTAACTGTGAGACTGAAACTCCAGCTTCCAGATATTTTAGCTATGTTAACTGTGAGAATGAAACTCCAGCTTCCAGAGATTTTAGTTATGTGAACTGTGAAACTGATACTCCAACTTCCAGAGATTTTATTTATGTTAACTTTGAGGCTGTAACTTCAGTTTCTATAAATTTTAGTCACAGGTCGAAGATGATACCAACAATCTTGATATAAATCAATACAGAGGTTTCAGCAAGATACAGGAAAAAATATGCTAATACTTTCGTAGAACGAGATTGCTAACTGGGTAAACTCGTCTTACAGTTCGTTTGTTTACTATTTTTACACAAAGCTATACAAACTGCTATCTGCACTTATCCGTGCCTAATTTTAAACTATTACACTACAGGGAATAAAATTAGTCGACATCACCCGCCATAAAGCATGAATCTACTCTTATTTGATCAAATAGAAATATTTGGTCACAACTCATATAGGCATTCACAGCAATTAATCACTAAGCATGAACCCTAGGATTCACAATTCGGGCATACTAATCTCAGGGCCACACCTAGTCGGAATATCATATATAGACGTTAAATATTGCTATCTATCAAACTGCCATGAAGGCTTCCATAAAGTACGAAATATTTACCAAGTTATGATATTGAGTGGATACTCAAAGGTGTAATTATTATTATACAGTCATTAGAAAGTATATCATTTTCCCTATTAATAGTGAAATAAAGAGGTAAATATGGAAATATAAATCAACACATTTCCAGTCCTTTATCCAAATGAATATGTAATTACTTTGGAAAGCTCATGCTGGATTAGGACACGACATTTTACCTATTCACAAGTTGAACCTAATAATAAAAGCAGAGTTAAGATTGCTTTCAGCACTCGGGAGTCAGTGATGCCATTTGGAAATGAAGTTTGCATTACACAGGCCCCCTATTGGTACAACGGCATGTCTGCGGACTTGAACGCTGGAAACCGGGTTTCGATATCCGTGGTGGGTAAAGCACAGATAGCCCATTGTGTAGCTTTGTGCTTAACTACAGACAGGCATTACACAGATGTCGATAGTATAGTTCAACCAAGTACGTTAAGTTAGTGCAAAAATATAGATAATATAGAAAAATAGGTCAGAAAATTGAGTGTTAATAAAAACGTAAATATAATTTCTCAAACACGTTGTTAATAAGAATAATGTGTTAACCAAATCAACTAGAGTTAAACCAACACATGTATTTTATAAAAATTAAGGGAAGGTTTAGTGAAACTTAGTGTTAGCTTAACCATGGTTAAAACTAGTAATTTATATTAGATACTATGGAATGGGAACTGTACTCTTTCAAGCATGTAAAAGTAATATATCACAAGCCAGTCAAATGCTAACTTCTATCAAACTTAATAATTTCATAATGAAGAATGAATCACAACCATTTGTAATATTTGACAAGTACTTCTGCTATAAATCACTACTGTTTGCTATAAGAATATATTCACTGCATTAATAGTTTGCTTTAGCAGCAGATAGAACGTTGTCAATAACTTGCTAATAAGCATCTTCAGGAAGAAAAATAAAAAGATTTTTATAAAGCTTGTTCATTAATTCCTATAGATCAAATACAACCATAATCCACTCATTGTATGAACATTGCAAGGAAGGTCATAACGTCAGAGAAGTATATGAATAATTAGAAGTATGAAAGGAAATACTCCATTGCTGCTATGGTCCACAGAGTGTTGTGCGTGTGCTATACTGCATCTTGTGATCCAGAGGTTTCTGAGTTAGGGAACTCTCTATGTATTACATTATACCACTTATATATACATATAGTCAGCTTGTAGAAATGATTGGCTTTATTGCCATAGATATTCTGAATGATGTAAACATCATACTGAGCATGATACTCAGATCAAATGCCAGCCTGGCCAAGTATACTTATACCAGAGTATTATTAGTTATCACATGCAACAAACTGCTATAGTTATGGTCATACGAGTTTCTAAATTCCCCCAGTAAATCAGCGGTAATCTTACAGTCTTACAACGGAAAGGTTCGGGATTCGATAGCCCATTGTGTAGCAATGCACTGAAAAAACAACAACAACAATTTGTATTCGTCATAACTAATTAATTTACACATGGGTTGAAGCACAACCACTCATCTGCAGCTCAATATATCTGGTGGGAAATATATTTGCTGGGATTTGCTGGTTAAGTCTCGTGCTTCATCATATCGTTCTCAATCAGATAGCCCGAATGAATGACCTGTTCAGATTGACTGACTAATATCACCACTTGTCTTAGTGTATATAGCTAGAGATCAGTAGTCGACTGGATGTTCCACAAACATATTAATGTAATTAATGCATAATCAAGAAGCTTTACCCCTGTTGATTTAATGTATGATTTTTCTTGAGACACTTCTGAGTGTTCAAAGTAACGTACGGAAGAGCTACAAACCATAAATGCTGATGCACATGAATTTGCATGGTAACTGATGAGAAAAGCAGCTATAAAAATAGGTTATGACATAGCCTCTAAAGAGAACCAATTCCAATACGCAGCTGGATTTGGTTGTGGTATGGCTGAGTGTCATTATAGACTCTTGGATTCAGTTGGGCTGGATCATATTTCATGCTTGAATGGCTTAATCTGTCGTACTACGAGCCTCAGTAATCACGTAATGCATGGAATTGTGTGTAAAGCATGTGAGACTGAAGCCTATTGTCTACAATGGAACCTTCAAAAATGGGTTTTACCAAGAAACAGAGAGAGACTGAGATGAAGCATCAGTTAGTGACAAACAAGTCTAACACTTATGAACAAACTTATATCTGAACAGTAAAAACTGTTTTGAGGAGCAGCTGCAGTAACACTATCAACCAACCACTTATTGTTATCAATAACTACTGACAATGAAGTTATTGCTATCAAATTAACATTGATTCATCATCTGAATACCATGGCTATTAACAATATTGTCATTTTAGTTGGAAATAAATTATAGAATAAAAAGTCTTAGAAAGTTTAAGAGAATGTTAAACAAATATAGCTTAATACAAGTAATATAGTACTGAAAAAGTATGTTTTAACATATCTAAAAGAGTAACTGAAAAAGCTTTACCCGCCTATCTTTTTTATTTCTCACAGAAAATGTTCTTTATAGGAAATACAAAATACGCTTACGTAAAATAAACAAATTAGAACAGTTGAAGATCAATATAAGTAAGGATAGTTTCAAGATCAATATAACTAAGGATAGTTTCAAGATCAATATAAGTAAGGATAGTTTCAAGATCAATATAAGTAAGGATAGTTCAAGATCAATATAAGTAAGGATAGTTTCAAGATCAATATACGTAAGGATAGTTTCAAGATCAATATAAGTAAGGATAGTTTCAAGATCAATATAAGTATCGATAGTTTCAAGATCAATATAAGTAAGGATAGTTTCAAGATCAATATAAGTATCGATAGTTTCAAGATCAATATAAGTAAGGATAGTTTCAAGATCAATATAAGTAAGGATAGTTTCAAGATCAATATAAGTAAGGATAGTTTCAAGATCAATATAAGTATCGATAGTTTAAAGATCAAAAATTATAAGCGGCTTTCACCTTTTACGTTTTTGAGCTATTACGTAGAAGTTCAATTAAATAATCAAGCGAAGCTGCTTGGTATGATTTGGTGGTGAACACGCTTATCAACTGTTGATATGTGAGCAAAATACTTTGACTGCATGTTACAAGACTCATAATGCAGACTGTTACAAATACCCAACGTGACTTTATAACCATCTTTTGTTGTTTTATGAAGTTAACGAGACAAAATTTGAAAACGTGTCTTTGAACAGAATAATAAATTGAAATGAAACTATCACTATTAAAATCCGGAACTCAATATTTATCAAACCAGCGCTTTTTGGCTTTATAAAAATTTATATCGGAATGAGAAATAGAAACTATAATAAAACATTTTTCCCAAAGAGGAAGGCGACAGGAAATGTGAACGACAATTATAATGTGATTATGTTATGTAACAGAAGGAGTAGTAAAAGCCCACATAAAGCACGTTTTTACCATTATTGTAACATAAAAATGTTGTAATGATTCATGAGATAATTTTTAAGAATTACATAATTAGAAAATATCTACACAGTTAATTCAATGAAATAGTTTCATCAAAGGAAGTTTAGCAGTTTCTGTTATAACTTGATATAAAAAGGTGCTTTATGGTAATCTAATCCTGTCCCGTTTGTCCCAGAAAGATAACTGTTTGATTTAGTTTAATTATATATATTACGATGCTCAGCAAATACTTTACTAAGAATCATGAATATGAAGAAACATATATTCAGGTTCCCTTTCAGGAAATTATTACATATCGTAGAGTGTAAAGTTAAGATTAATGATGGTAAAAATATAAAAAATTGAATAATAAAATATGCTCAGAATAATCGTTACCTGTTCGATTATTGATGCAAGTCTTCCAAGGGCTAATCCAGTTTTATCATTTCTAGCAATTACAGCCGATCCAACCTTAATAACAATTCGTTTGGCATCTTGAAGTTCTCTTCGATATGAATATGCGTTCCGAACAGGGTTTGATAGCAAATCTCTTGAAATATTTTCTCGGATGGAAGTTAAGCCTTTCTTTCCTCCTTGTACAAAGCGAAGACCTGCCCTGTTTAGCAAATGAAACGACATGTCTACTTCTGCACGTGTCAGGATGGGCCTGTTGAATATCCGGAGCTTATTCATCATTTTATGTTGTTTGTATGGGTTAAAGGGAAAATGAACACCATGTGTTTCCATTACCAATTTAACTTTGTAACCCAAGGACACTCTGACGTCACTTGTAAGAACGGGCTTCATGGAACTTGTCATGGTGATTGATAGCTGTTCTGGTCTGTTTGAGTTACAGACTTAATTTTTTTTTTTTCTGTTACACCGAACTTCGGGATGAAAATTCTGATGGAAAAAATTGTTGCAGGCAAGTTTGGCTTCAAAACAACCTAAACGTGTTGAAAGACCTGTCGAAAATAATAAGATTTTTATAAAACGAAATATACGTGCGTACACAACCAAAAACATCCATATAAAAAAACATACATTATTTTTGAACCGCAAAACCACTCACCAACCTAACTAGTCTGAAAAATACGTCACCTAACTGCTAAATGAAGAAAATATATATTTTAGACATTCCTGCGCAATATCGAGATTGTTTTTGTTTGTTTACAATATAAAAAGAAACCTTATTACTTAAAAGACTTTCAGGCTCTGCTATGATAGGCAATATATGATACTAAATATAATTATTGTTATAGTTTTTATTGTAATTTGTAGTTAGTTGATGAATTTGAAAACCTGAAACTTATGTGTACTAAATGATGTGTAAAGCCATAAGTTTTGCTGCTATTTCGAAAAGGGAATGGGTGCAGTTTAAAAACAGTCTGATTTAGATATAGCAAAGTAATTTCAAGTCTAACCAAACTTACAAAATGAAAATCTGAAGCAAAGGTAAGTTTTCTTATCAACTACGATACTTCTCTCTCGACAAATTATAACTAAACCCAAAATATGCTATATTACCAAAACGTAATGAACGCACAATCCCAGATAATAATAATGTCCTATCCCCATTACATAGTGCTATGTATTTTCTAAAATGGTCAATAACTGTCTCACTGGAAACTAGTTCAATTGCAAATGTCACAAGGGGAAAAGTTCACGGACCTTAAAAATGGAATAATTATTGGATACAGCAATGGTGAACTGAGTATCTACGATATTCTAGCATAGCTACTTACATTCAAATGCAAGATACCTAAGAAATGGAATGTGAAGGTTCCTTGGCCACAAATAATTAATTATTTTTCGCCTATGCAAACTTTGAAACATAATGAAATTACATCAAATCTAAACAGTGATTGCAAGACGTCAACTTTTATGTTATCTTGAGCTTCAAAACTAACGTGAAGAAAACTTGAATATTCTGTATTGGAACAAATGATGTCCAGAACTTGCTTTTTGTCCTAGCCTAAGTTCAACTGAACAACTTTATGATGTTTTGGAGCGTCCCATGAGACACAGAAAAGACAAGCCCCATAACCTCACTACTCTTTAAGCTGACTTTCAAAAACAGTAACATATCATTTAGAGTGCTTCATCTAAACCATTAGCATTATTAGAAACAAAAACTGTCTTTAAACTGTGAAATTACTAAATAAAATGTAACTTCTTGCCGAGAGCGAACTTCCTATTTAGTAATGAGAAAATGTAACGCTCGAATAATATTGCTCCACGTGAATATGTAATACGTTCATAATAAAAAGATTCTAATATAAACTTTACAAACGTAGCTGTAACACTCAGAAGCATTACTTGCTCTTTCATTTCAACTGATATGTTGTTTGACAGTAGTAGCCTAAAGGGTGCTGGTAAAAAAAAAAACTCCTGAAGCTTCGTAAAACAATAAAACTAGTGAAAGTTGACATAGGTCTTATAATACAAACAAATTCTATTTGTCTGGCAGCAGTAGCATGAAGAAGTTAAGGGGTTCAGAAATTTACGAAGCTATTAGCGATTTTAAGCACATTATAAAAACTCTGGTAAATTAATTATCTAAGTTCATATAAATTGTATTGATAATCTAATTCAAGTAATACGTGTGCAAAATTACAATAGCACGTGGAATGTTCTTTTCCAAATGTTCCTTTCTTTTTCTATTTGACATCATATTTTCAACCCTGTTTTTGTAATCTTTACTATTAAGTTCGGACACTTTTTCAAACTACCATTTTACAAAGAATCATGAGCTTTATTACATCTGGGGCACATAACTGGTCCTCACTACCATTTTATAAACCCTTTAATGATCCTGTAATGTAACTAAAAAAGTTCAGCAAATATCAATTTTTATTTGCCAAGCAATTCCAAAATGTACAGTCTTCAACATTTTTGCTTCTTAACATTTTGTAAAAAATGGTGATGGTGACAAGAATAAGCGTAAAAACAAATACATATCAAGGGGCATAACAAAAATGTACTCGCCTTTCAGAAACTTTTGCTCTCATTATGTATCGTAGGCTATCAGAGTCATAACACATTTTGGAAACGCTCAAACACTTACAGCCGTTCTATGGTGTATACTTGATGTAGATATGTAGTAGTACTTTATGTTTCATGTAAAGGACTACATCATGAGTGTCAATAACCTTTTGACGACTGCTGCTCACGTGATGACACCTAGGTCAAAGAGACCTTTGTTAGACTGTACGCTTGTGAAATTTCAGTAAGAACATATTGCTTTAGCTTCAGAGGGCAATAGCAGAGTAAAGCAGTTATCTTCTCTCGTTTCTTTGTATTACGAATATAACCTGGTTAATTTTGAGGTTATGTGTATACTTATATAGTGGAAGTAACTGCATTAATTACACGTATTCTCCGTGATGAGTTTATATATTAAATGATTTTCGACTGCAGTCACTGACTATGATAGAAACAAGAAGTTGCATCTGAATGTTACAAAACATGGACATTTCTCGTGGGTTACTTTCTATTTCTCCAGTCATCAAGAGAAACACGCAAGAGGCTGACATTAAGTTTTGAAAGAAAGTCACCAAGAACAACAAATGCACACAAACTGGCATCAGTTTTTAGAAAAATACACCAAGATAAACAAATAAACAACAGGTTGACATTAAATTTTTGAAACATTGCCAATATAAACACGCAACATGCTAATATGAACTTTTTAGAAAAGTAGCCAAGGCTAACAAATATACAACAGGCTGGTATTAACATGCACACTTACGTATATCTACATATGTAAATGAATGTGTATATAAGCGGGAAGTTGAGTTACTTGTGACTTCTAATAGAGTGAATGAAAAAAAGATATATGTGAAAATCCTATAGCAATTTTACAGTGCAATTTGATGTGAAATATAATATTTCAAAAGTGCCCATTACTGGCTCAAATATCAGAGAATGTTTTAAGGTTCTTAATTAGATACAACCACTACTGTTTCACATAACTCTTGTTTCACAAGCACATAACCCTTCCCAGTTATAAAAAAAAAAAAAACGTTCTTTAAATATAGTTTGGAAATATCGCTATTTTTCTCGTTCTACACTGTTAGCAGGCGTTTATCGAAAAATAAAAGTTGGCCCAGATTCGTGTTCCTTAATATGATACATAGAATCTTATTTATCCACCGTGTTTGTTTGTATTAGAATAAAGCCAGATTGTGCTATCTGCTGTATCCATTGCGAGAAATCGAACCCCGGATTTTATTACTGTAAGTCCGTAGACTTAACTGCTGTCCTTCCAGAGTACTCTCCACTGTGTCAGATTATATTAGTAAATGAACTGTTTTTGTTTAGAGTTTCAATGAAATGTCGCTTTTAAGCGATAGAAATTTAACAGAAAGGTTTTGGAATACGATCAACGTGACACCAAACGGCAAATGAAAGTAAGGACAATAATTTCTCTCTGAACAGCAAATGAATTAAAAGCTGAAAAACTCACGAACAAATACAACAAAATAAAAATACCCCATAACAGAAAATAAACAAATAGAAAGTAAATGTAATCAGCAACTTTCTATTTTATGTTATGTGGGATAAATATTTTTACGTCTCTGTATGTTCGTTTGTTAATTTTCCTGCGATACAAGTCCTTTCTTAAATAAAATTAGTTTA